ACTGAGGCTCAGTCAGATGCCTGTCTGGTTTCTGAAAGCTAAACACACCCTAAAATAGTATGATAGCACACCAATAACATCCAGATTTACTCACAACTTCAGTCCTGCTAAATCAGAGGAGTCAAATATTAGAAGGCCCATTCGCCATGTTGGTCCTGGCAATTCAACATTTTGGAAAATAGCCTCTAAGACAGATAGGCTGTATGTGTGTAAAGGAATAAAACCAATGCTTAGCAACAGGGCATAGAGGAACGAAGAAATACTTGCTTCAACATGGGTCTAAAGTTACTGCAATAACAATCAGATTAAAGAAATTTAAGTACTGTGATTGCAAGCACTTGCAGTCACTTTAGGCAACCAGTAGTGCTGTAACAAGCGCATATTTTGTGGGTCCCAGGCTGTGGGTGAAAAGCAGCCTGGGCAAAAAATTCAACTCAACTTGATGCAAGCTGGGAGACTACATTTTACTTTTCAGGCTTTTGTATTGTAGACTTATTCTCATTTACAGCTCAATAAGGCACAGCAGTTGGCCCAACATTAGAGGAACATCTCCTGTGCCAGGAGGTATACTATACCATACCATACCATACAGACTCTTTGTGTCAACACCCCATCAGCACACAAAGTAACTTTTTTTTTTTTGGCTTGCTTCTTTAAAGTAAAGAGGGGAGAGAGAGGAGATGGGCAGAGAAGAAAAAGATTTTGATACTTTTTTTGTTTTGTTTTCATTTTTGTTTTTATTTTTTTTGTACAATTTAAATTTATAAATCTAGTTATTTAAACCACCATGCACATATAAAATATACACATACACATACACACACACTCTCTCTCTCTTAGAAAAGAAATTTCAATATATATATATATATATAAAGATCACCTGATCATGGGAAAGTAAGGGTTAGATAATTAAAAAAAACATTTCTCTTCCTTGTCCCTCCCCATACAAAAACAATTATCACAATATAAAAGGTGGTCATCTCTGACCATGGGAAGGTAGGGTAAGATAAAATAAATTTCATCATTTTTTATCTATTTTTTTTAAAAAAAGGCTCCTTCTAACTTTTTCTGCTAGAAAAAGCTCAGCTCTCTCCTAGTCAGAAAACTAAGGAGGAGAGCTAAACACATTGATAGACCGCATTATAGCAAGTGGGCACATCTTGAGCACAGTTCAATGCTATAAGTGCTTGAAGCATTTAGACTGGTAAAATCTGCAAGAACTCCAAAAATACCTTTCAATCAAAATCCACTCTTTGACATCTTTAAAGAATAGCAACCTTGCTCCAATCCAATCAGGAGCTTTCAAAGGAGGTTATCTTCCCCAGGAATTTGTTGTTGAGGGAAAATCCCCATTACCCAAGAGGCCAAGATACATAGTATACCTAGGTGTATATTCCTAGGAACAGGATAGTATACCTAGAGACACAGGATAGTATGCCTAGGGCTTATCTAATATATAGCACACCTATATATATAGGTACATAGCCCTAGGTTGTTAGGTTCTCCTTACCTCACTGACCCTACAATGTCTCATAACCTAGGATTATAATCATGGTGTGTTCTAGGCTATGACAACATTTGGTACTCTGAGATAACTCCTCAGATCTCTCCAGTGGCATGTAAAGCAACCAATTCTAGGGTTTATCCCTATCAATCTGCAATCTGTACTACCCCCTTGGTGCATCAATCACAGAAGATTGCTCTTCCATTTCATCAAGTCAGCTATTCTCCACTATCATTCCTCAGGCAGAAGCCTGTATAGGAGTGCGATGGGAATAGTGTTTACATATAGATATAACTCATGTCACATGGCTCCTCATGCCCTATATGAGGTAGTACCCCAGTTTTTACTAAGTAGGCCTGAAGAGCATAAAGCAAAACCAGGAAAATGGGGAGTACCCCCAGCCTGAAGTCATCTGCCTACAAGCAACTCAGGAAACGCAGAGAGCTTTACCCCCTGCTAGGTATATTGTTTCAAAACCACCTAACCCTTATTCTGTTTGTTACTATCATTAGCACCTATATTGTCAAAGTATCGCCCTAATACTTGACTCTGACTCTAACTCTAACCCCAAACACTTACTTGTAGTACTTGGAAGTTGATATAGCTGTTTAGGCTTGGGGGCTGGTTGGCTATAGGAGCAGGTAAGGCTCAGAGTATGAGTGGTGTAAAGTTGATGAGTATAGACAAGTATAACCAGTCTGCTCTCTCAAGGCTGCATTGCTCTGGTATTTATATATGAGGGACCAGACCCCTAATACTACTAGTAGTACATCTAACACCTTGGCTGACTGATGCTTGCAATATGCTATTGGCTATCTAAGAATACCTAGCATGTAAACCATCACCCTATCTATGTGTTCGGTCAGCAGTTTCTATCTTGTGATGATCACCTGAACAACTATGTGTGTCCCTAGTATAAATAGGGAAATCTCATGTGAATGTATGATAGCCTATTTGCCATGCTTCTGATAAGCTGGACACCTGACTAGTAACATGTCACTATGTATTTGTCATGCAATGACCTACAATGACTCCACCCAATACCCAAACCTAACCCTAAGCCTGACTATACTCACTGTCTGACAGTTATCTGAGTAAAAGGTTTGAAGAGCGCTTTACTGAGTAGAGGGTGCACACTGAGTAAGAGCAGGTGAATGACTATAACTAGTCTAGCCCTAACTAGCACAGACCTACTGGCTTTATATACATGCTGGGTAAGCTACCCTGATACTGTAAGGACAAGACCCCTAGTACTTGTGCTAGCTATCCTATTGGCTATCTACTAACACCTGCTAACCATCTTACTAACTGGTGGTGATGACAAATCCCCGAGCTGGAGTCTGACTAAAATATCAGATGATATATAGGTCTTAACCACTAAGTGACACTGAGTAGAACTGCTTAGTGAGCTATCACCCAATTGACAACTTTATCCTGGGACCTTCTAGCTGGTTCTCTACTATTCCGTGGATACTCCAGCATGCATTTTATCTATATCTAATCACTATCTGATAAGATAAGATAGATATGCACCTATTCTGGAATATTATTCAGAAAACTGTGATAGCATTATGCTATCCTTATCTACTTAGATATCTTAATTGGATAAGATATAGATCATCTAGACACTTGTATATAAGATAAATACCATGAAATTCTGTGACGCATATTTAATCTATGCAACCTTGTCTTATCAGCTATGGCCATCCAGGATAGCTACTCACACACTCTGCATTTAAGTGCTCTGCTCCTCTTGTTTATAATGGCTGTCTCAGACAGCCTTATATGCTCTCACTATTTACACTTGTCACATACATATAGCCATCCCAGATAGTCATCTTGTTCTCCTCTGTCTGTTACCCATATGGTGTACATATTCTAGCATGCTAACCTATGTGCCTACACATGTAGGTACATATACCTAGGTATGTAGGTGTGTATGTCTCTACATACAGGATAGTGTACCTAGGGATGTAGGTGTGTATGTTCCTAGGTACAGGATGGTATACTTAGGGCCTAGGTAATATACAGCACACCTAAGTACTGTTAAGGGACCTGACAACTGAGGATCAGGAATTCTACTACTAACAAAGATACTGCTATGTGTAAGGCTGATGTACTATACTAGAACTAGACTTTAGAAAGTGAGCTACTGCAACTAGTAATGGTTTGAGAATAAGTATTGAATAAAGT